CTGAGATTACAGACATGAGCCAGCATGTCTTGGCTTTATTTCACATATTTTAGTGGGGAAAAAAGTATAATTTTCAAACAGTTAAAAGCATGATTTGCACACAAATATAAAATGAAAAGTTTTCAAATGTTTATTAGCTCATTAATGTCTTTCAAATTTGTTATAGGTGCTGAAAAAAAAAGAAACTCCTCCATGCACTCTTCACCATGTTGTGCTGCCTTGCCACGTGCAACAGGGCCAACTGACCATGTACTGCAACCTCCAAAACTGTGATCCAAAATAAACATTTTCTCTATAAAAGTTGATTCATCTCAGGTATTTGTTATAGAAATGCAAAGCTGACTAACAGAAAATTGGTGCCAAGAAGACAGGCAACTTCTTACTGGTAACAATTAGTGTTGCAACTATACCTGATGATGTGGAAAGGCCTTTGAAATTGATTTCCAGGAGGAGTTTGGAGGAGATGACTAGAGCATTATAAATGGAGCTTAATAAGTGATTCTTGTGAGGGGTCAGAAGACAAGAATGCTAAAAAAAAAAAAAAAAGACCAGACTGCTAACAGGACGCAGACAGTAGAGGTGGTGTTGACAGATTTCAGATAGAAATGAGGACTCCATTGGGAATTGGACTAAAGGCCACCTGTGTTATGCCATGGCAAAGAATTTGCATGCATTGAGACTATGGGAGGGCAAGCTTACAGATGACAGACTAGTTTATTTGGAAGGGGAAATTTCAAGGCAGGACAGTATTTGGGGAGTGACATGGTATTACTCACTTCTTTACTGTGAGAATCAAGAGCATAGAGGAGCAGAGTGGAAAAATTTGGAAAACTTGCAGTTTGAGTGGAAAAGAAGCAAGCTGAAATGTGCTGCCAAAGACGGTGCAGTCGCTAAAACAATTAGCACATTAAAAAGAAGCCAGGTACTTTGGTACTTTGCACTAGGACAACAGCAAAGACTGGGCATCTGAGGAGTTATAAGAGCCTCTCACAAAGTAAGTTTCTTTCAAAGATTTTTCCAGGGCAGTTTTTTGAGAAGTGAGCCCTGGGGCACCCTGCTCATGTGGGACTGTGGATGTCTTTAGCTGGCAAGGCACTCATGCTGCTGCAGCCATGGTTCAAGTGGGCCCAGATGCAGCTCATGGTACATACCTAGAAAACTGTTTTGTGGGATTCACAAATATCTTGAGCCTGCTAATAGCTGACAAGAAACTGTCTCTCTTTTTTTGGTACTGAGAATTAAACTCAGGACCTTGAGCTTGCCTGGCAGGCACTGTGCCACTGAGCTAAATCCCTGGCCCTTTTCTTTTCATTTTTAAAGAAGTCTTCTGAACAAAACATATATTTACATGAAGCAAAACTTTAAAAACCTGTTCCCATACTACCCAATTCCTCTTCTACCAAAGTGACCATTTTTGTGTATCTTTCTAGAGACTGTTTACACATATGCATGCACAATTTTTTTTCTTTTTTTTTCCACTTAACTTGGCAATTGTGCCACACCAGTACATAAGATTTCACATGCATGGAATTGTATAGCATTTTTCCTCTAGTTTTCTTCAATATGCTTTTTAGATTTTGAAATAATTTCAAGCTTGCAAAAAAACATCACTAACACATGGCCAGGGATTTAGCTCAGTGGTTACGCCACCTGCCTCGCAAGTGCAAGGACATGAGTTCGATCCCCGGTACCAAAAAAAAAAAAAAAGAAAAAGAAAAAAAGTTGCTAACACAATATAAAGCTTTTTTTTTTTTTTCTGGAACCACTTGAAAGTTGTTGACTCAATGTCCTATGACCCCTGAATACTTTCCAGTGTATTTCCTAAAAATAAAAATGTTCTCTTACATAGCCAAAATACAATTAGCAAAATCAGGAAATTAACATTATATATTATATCATCTAATTCTCAGAACTCTTTCAAAATTTGCTAGTTGTTCCAGTAATGTTCTTTATGTCAGGTATAGTTTCTCAATCTTTTCTTGACTTTTCCAGCTGCAGCCCTATTAAAGATTATAGGGTAGAGAATTTGTAGAATGAACTTAATTTGGCTTAATATTTCCTAATTGATTAGAATAAAAAATTTGGCAGAAATGTGACAGAACTGATGCAGGGTTCTTCTAATTGCATCCTATCAGGTGTCACTTAATTTCTGTATGTCGTGTTATGCTAATGTTCATGTTCATTTAATCAACATGGGATCTGAAGACTTTTCCATTGTAAATTTACCTTTTTAAATTTGTAATTAATAAACATTTTGGTGGTAAGAATCTTTGAAAATATATATCTTATTTCTTATCAATTTATTCACTTATTTAAATATATTACTATGGCTTATGGTTTATTATATTCAATGGCTTATAATTTAACCACCATTGTTTATTTTGATCTCAAGTAGTCTTGGGTTGGACCAGTGGAAAACTATTCAAGCTGGCTTGTTTATACTTTTGATATGTCCCTATCATTCCTGGAGCACTTCCGTACTTTCTGGCACAAGGCAATCTAGGATCAACTTGCACTTTTCCTGCTTTGTTGGTAGAGTTAACCCTTTCTGCAAAGACCCTTGCTTCTGTTTAGTGGAGAATGATACTCAGAAGACAAGATCTGGGCACTGTGTTTGCTCATTACTATTGTGGTACCTTTAAAACTAGGACTTCTCAGTGGACAGAACCAGGAGAAACACATGCACACAAATATATATTTACATCTACATTTATTTATCTCTATATATTTTAAGCCATGAGTTTGCATTATTTCTCATTCCAATCCAACATGACACAGTTCACTTCTCTTTTCATATTTGTAACTCCCTTTTCTGACAGAAACTGGACTCTCATTATCTTTAATATATTTTATTTGATCAATACCTCTGAATATATGTAAATTCCTGTTGCTGTCCTCTCACCTGCATGGAAACCCTTCTAATCCTATTCAGGACCCAATACCTGCATCAGGCTGACATTACTTCCCTCCATGTGAATGCCCTCATCTTACCTGTGTAAGGCCTCTGACCCCACCAATGACAGATGAAACTACCTTGCTCTACTTGACCTTTATGACTGAATGGTCCCAGGAAGGTAAGGGAAAAGAAGGTAAGGGAAAAGGGCTCCTAATTTATTTAATATGCCTTTTGAATCTCCCACCCCTTTTTTACTATTACAAACAAAATTGCAATGAATAATTATGTCTATCCAAGGCTACGGTATATTTAAGATAAATTTCTAGAAGTGAACTTGCTGGGTTAGAGATTATGTACATTTGTAATGTTGGTTATGCTATTTGCCTTCTACAGAAGTTTAACAATGTACCTATCCACCAAAAACACAATGGTAATTCTAACACATAGTTAAAAGTTACATAATGACATTTGAGAAGATTAAGACAACCTCTTTTCTCTTTTAAAAATACATTTATTGTTACATAAATCAAATTTTCAGTTAATTTTCTACTACTTTGTTTGTAGGTAACAAAAATGAAACAAAATTTAGCTATCACAAGCAAATTTAGTAACACAAAACAGTATCTAAACAGATGAGGTAAAAAGTAACTATAAGAACCCTCAGAAAAAAATAAGAGTTACCTACGCAAGCACAAGGACCCAAGTTTGATCCCTGGTACCAAAAACAAAAAACAAAAAACAAAAAACAAAAAAAACAACAAAAAAAATAGGAGTTAATGCAGTAGCTCTGCAATTTACAAGGCAAAAATGATAATCTATAAAACAGTTCAGAAGCATTTTTTTCTACCAAATTTCTTATTCAGGTACTGGTAAGAAAGTGGCTTTCCAGGTCTTGAGGTCGAATTCTTTTTACAGCCAAGCAATGGTATCAAGATACTTACTAGAGTATCCCTCGAAATTGCCCCAGGCATGTCAGAAACTGGATGGGATTCTGAAGTTCAGCGTTTTGCCTAGGATTTCCAGGGTTTTAGCACTAAACCTGGTGCATCACTCGGTTCCAAGCAAACTTAATGGTCTCCTCCCAGTCCTGTGTCCAGTGCAGTTGTCACCAGCTGAAAGTGACTATTCACATTGAAATTAAATTGAAAATTCAGACAGTAGCAATAGCCATATTTCAAGGGCTCAAGAGCCCCCAATGGCCAGTGGCTACCCTGTTAAGGCAGACATGTAGAATACTTCCATCACAGCAAGAAGTTTTACAGGGCAGCACTGTTGTGGACAGTTATAAACTCGGCGCTGGATGGCATGCTGTAATCCCAGTCACTGGGAGGCTCAGGTAGGAGGATTGCAAATTCAAGGCCAGTCTAGGTAACTTAACAAGACCCTGTCTAGAAAACAAAATGGGCTGGATGTAGCGTAGTGTTACAGCCCTTGCCTAGCATATGGGAGGCTCTGAGTTCAAGCTTCAGTATCACACACACGGTAAAAACAAAACAAAATTAAAAAACCCCTTTAAACCCACTAGTTCCAATACCAATAATAGGTAGTATCAGACTAGATATTACTCTCTTCAAATAGGAAAAAAAATACTGATAAACTAAGTAAAAATCATACCAAACAGCCGAGCGTGAGGTAGGGAGAATCGAAGTTCGAATTCAGCTGGGGCAATTTGGCAATTTAACAAGATTCTGTCTAAAAAATAAAAAAAGTGGGAATGGGGAGGTGGGGACGTAGCTCAGAGAGAAGGCCCTGGATTCAATTCCCAGGAACCCTACCTCCTCCACCCAAAGCCCTAGTGTCAGCAGGCTTTCTCTGGCGCTCACTGGACAGTAATCTCCCTGCGGAGGTCCTGTCGGTCTGGTGACGGAAGAAATTCCCCAGACTTCTAGAAGGCAGTACGCTCTCAGAGCAGCAGGCGTTCCTGGGCCAAGACCCTCACAAACGTAACTGTCTAAAGTGGCACAGGCCTACTCCCAGCGCGGCCGCTCGCCCCTCTCCCTCGCCCCGCTCCGCTCCCTCGCGGGCCGCCCGAGGCCCAGGCGGGCGGCGGCCAATGGGGTGGAGCGCCGCGCACCGTGGGCGGGGCCGTGGCGCGCAGGCCTCGTGATCCCGCTCGGAGACTGCGCCCGCGGAAGCCGGAAGCGGTGGCTGTGGCGGTACCCGCGTGAGCCGGAGGATCCGAGCGGCGCGAGCTGGGGCTTGTGAACCCGGTGATGGAGCCGGACCGGACTGTGGCGCCGCGGAGGTCGTCGTTGCTGCGGTGGCTGCCGCTGGTGCCGTTGCTGTGGTCGAGGCTGGCCTTGGGCGCCCTCCCCTTCGTCGGCAGTCCGCGCGGGGTTTTTCCGGACCTCTTGTCGGAGGAGCACTTGCTGGAGGTGGAGGACTTGACCCTGTCCCTAATGCGAGGCGGAGCTCTAGGGCCGCTGTCGCTACCCCCGGACCTGCCCGACCTGGATCCCGAGTGCCGGGAGATGCTGCTGGACTTCGCCAACAGCAGCGCAGAGCTGACCGGGTGTCTGGTGCGCAGTGCTCGGCCTGTGCGCCTCTGCCAGACCTGCTACCTGCTCTTCCAACAGGTCGCCGGCAAGATGGACAACATCAGCCGCGCCGTGGGGGTTAGTAGAGGAGACACCCTGGCGCAGTGGCGGGGAGAGCTGGGAGAGGAAGAGGAGGTGGTGATGGTCAACTCTAGGGGTCTCCTTTTTTCCAGCCGTCAGAAGCCAGGGTTGGGCTGTTGTCTGTGGAGTTTGGGGCAGCAGACAAGGGGTGGCATATGGGGCTTTGGGGGTGGATTTCTACCTCTATAGGTGCTCTTAGGCATCCTCTTGTTAGGGATCAATAGAGACTGTTTGCAGATAGATTATGACTTGATTTTCTTGGGGAATCGTGGTCCCCTAACCCTCGGTTCCTCTTTCTCACTCCTTGCCCTCAACTCCCCCGTAGCTTCTTCCCATCTCAATCTGGAGTTCCCAGGAAGAACCTTTTTCTGAAACCACAAGTGAAGTGGAGAAGCTGGTAGTGGTTAGAAGGTTGAGCTTTGTAGCCAGAAAGGTTAAGTTCCACTAATTTGTAGCCGTGTGACCTTGGGTTAATGATCTTTTCAGAGTCTTAGTTTCCTCCTATATAAAGTGGGAGGGGGGAAACTAAAACCCCAAAACAAAAACCACCAGCTGCCTTGATGTGGCTTTCATATTAGTGATGAAGACCGTGTGGAGTTAGTTGGCCAGGAGTGCAGTTATACTCTGGGCAAGTTTCATTCTCTGCACCTGTTTTCTCATCTGTAAAGTGGGGGATAAAAGGAAACTGGCAGATAGAAATAACACTGTGAGATTTAAAACTTCAGGGTATGGTAAATCTACCCTCCATTTTTGGTACCCTGAGAGCTCTTCTGCACATTTGCTAGGTGCTGTGGAGCCAGAAAAAGGAAGGCACAGTCTCTGCCCCAAGTACTGTAGAGGGTATGGACTAGGAAAGGATTAGAGTTCAGGACTGGTTAGAGTCACGAGGATGCCTGGTAAAGGAAAAAGACGCAGAATAATGTTGGGATTGGGGAGTATGAAAGTTCCTCCTGTGTTGTGGAGACAACACATAATCTCACGATGATTGGAATTTCATAAATCATGGTTGATTTGAATATAAACTTGTATATAATTGCATCTTGCTTTAAGTCAGCCTGCTATTCATAGAAAGCTATTATTTTGCACAAACAAGGGATTTATTTGTATTAACTTTTTTTCCCTCCTGGTATGGGGGATCAAACTCAGGACCTTTCTCTTGCCAGGTAGTTGTGGCGCCACTGAGCTAAATCCCTGCCCCTGCATTAACTGCTAATGTAATCTTCTCTAAAGAGCTAGTTTTCAAAGTAGTTGAAATAAATTGAGGCTTACATGTAATATTTTCCATACATAATACTGTTGGTGTGGTGATATATATACATATGCTTTTCTATAACTTTAAAGAACCCAAGCCTTGTTCCTGTCAACTATAGCAGATGATACAGTATTATATTTGATTTTGAGCAGTTAAGTGAGTTATTTTAGAGTGGCTTTTATTCTAAAGAGCAAGTGCCTTTGTGCCTTTGTTGTGGTCAGAATCACAGTGCAAAGCTGGGATCTATCTCTCACTCTTTTTTTTTTTTTCCCCCTGTGGTACTGGGTATTGAACCCAGGACCTTCATACTGAGCAATATCCCCAGCCCTTTTTTATTTTCAGACAAGGTCTTTCTAAATCACCAGATTGACTGGGCTGGGCTCAAATTTGTGATCCGCTTGATTGAGCTGGGCTCAAATTTGTGATCCGCCTGCTTCAGCCTCCTGGAGTGTACCACCATACCTGGCTAAAACTTGGATCTTTTGAGGCAGCAGATACTTTTCTCATTTCTGTAGGTACCAAGAAGTTAATTAGTCCACACTCTAGTAGTAGTATGTGCATTACCCAGTCTATGTGTGACTTTCCATGTAAATTCTCCACTGTCCAGTAAGGTTTCCCAATATGGGAGTTGCAGAAGTTGCCTTCCTCTACTTCCTGCCCCTCAGATTCTGCCAGTGACGTGAGCACCCAGCTCACCTCACCTCAGTGTGGAGAAAGAGGACAAAGGTGAAAAGGGGTGGGAAAACCCTTTATCCAGTTCATCCTAGATCTTGGTTGTTGTTCCCCTTGAAAAAATTAGTTGTCTTTTGGGAAGGTTATTTCTCCAGAGTAATGAATTTTCTTTGACTCACTAGACTGTGTTTCATTCACATCTTTTTTTTTTTTTGGCTGTACCAGGGGTTGAACTCAGAACCTTGCACTTTCAAGGCAGGTGCAACGCCACTGAGTTAAATCCCCAGCAATTGTTCACATCAGTTTAATTAGAAATACCTAGTATTCTTGGTTTTGGGGCTTGTGAAAGGATATAGAAAGAAAACAGGCCTCAAAGCATCAGTGTAGTTGGAAATAAAACTGTATCAAGAAAAAGAAAAAGGAAAATTTCACTAGGGTGTTATATGATGGCAGGAAAAGGAGGAAGGAGATGCTGAATTACATCAGGAAATAGGACATGGTGGGTGTGGTTAATCAGGGAAACCCACAGGCTGAATTGTGAACAAGGCATCATTACCTATCTTCTGTAGGGTAAGTGGGTAGGATTGATTGAGAGAAGGCAGAAATATAACCAGGAGAGAAAAAAATTGAAGGTAGAAGTCAGAAAGGTATTTATGTGGTACAGCAAGCTAATTAGTTTACTGTAGTTATCTAATGAAAATCTTGTGTTCTTGTCACTTCCTCTTAGAATTACTGGGACAAGGACTACATATAGTTTCATTTTTTCTTTCTTTCTTTTTTTTTTTCTGTACTAGGGATTGAATCCCGGACCTTACATTGAACTATATCCCCAGCCCCTTTTTATTTCATTTTGAGAGAGAGTCTTGCTAATTTGCCCAGGCTTGCCTTGAACTTAGCCTCCTGAATGGTTGGGATTACAGGCATGCACTATGGGTCCTAGTTCACGTGCAGTTTTATAATCTCACAATAAAGAAGTGATTTTGAGAGCTAAATGGTGGAACTGATGGGTTCCATCTTCCTTAGAGGTATCCATTCCTTTTGTTTAAACTGATATAGAAACATAGTTTTATTGAGCTATTCAGCATCATCAGAATGCTTTAGATCCCTGAAGTTCTGAATTATAAGCTCTATACTGCTCTTAGTTTAAAATTTAGATGAATATATAGATACTTTTATGCATTTATTCAAAAAGTACCTATTATATACAGATGATAATTACTAAGGATATATCTGAATGAGCAGAGCTTGTAGTCTGAAAATAGAGATTAAACATGTTATATAAGTAATTATTTAATTCAAGTGTAGTAAATGTTGCAGAGAAAAAAACCCAGATGCTGTATAACCAGGGTGTGATCTGAGGTGTGGTTTGGAGTAGGTAGAGTGGTCAGTGAGTAAAGTTGACACTTATAATGTGAGAGGGTATGGGGCAGGGAAGAAAAAGTATAACTGTAAAGAAATAGCCAATGTGAGAACTGTGATTGGATGGGGGCTGGAGTGTTTGAGGACTAGAAAGAAATCAGCACAGTGAGTAGGGAGACTAGTGAGCTATGCCTGAAGAAATGGTCAGGGGATAGATCATGAGAGCCTTGTAGGGAATGTGAAGGATTTTAGACTTTGATTTTAAAGCAGTGCAAAGTTACTGGAAGCTTTAATTCTGTGGAATGATGTGCTTGTGTGCGTCATAAGATCATTTTGGCAACATGACAGGAATTGGAGGGGATAGGACCTGGGTAAGTGGGAGAAGAGGATATGTGGGGAGATGAATTGGGAGAGTATTGCAGTGATGTGAGAAATGGTGGGAACTAGGGCACATGGGGCCATTATGATAGAGAAAAATGGGTAGATTTTAGAGCTATTTAGGAAGTAGAAATGATAATCCTGGTGGCTAATGGAATGTGGGGAGTGAAAAAGAGGAATGATGATTTCCAGGGTTTTAAAAAGAGCAGCTTTATGATTGTGGCTGCCTCGTTTCAGGCAGAACTCGACTCCACTGACATGGAGAAACCCAGTCTAAAGCCCCCTGGGGGCAGTGACACCAAGTGTGCTTCACAGCGCCCGGTGGGCGGGGCAGTGTGTGGATGAGTGTGACCCCACCTTCCTCCTGGGAAGCCGGTCCTCCCGAGAGCACCAGACAGCCTGGGACGGCCTGGCTGCAGGGCGCCTTGGGAGCCTCGTGGCCGCCCTCCTGTGCCCCCGGAGTCCCGACCGCTTTGACTTCTGTGACTGTTTCGGTAATGTGTAGTCTGCCGTGTGTTCACAGCCTAGGACCATGGTGATAGAGTGTGTTCTGGTTTTTTAACTTCAGAAAAGTTACTTAAATGACAAATATGTGATTAAAGTTCATTTCCTAAAAAAAAAAAAAAAAAAAAAGCAGCTTAGTGAATAAGGAAGGAAGAGCCTGTTTGGCAGGAAATCATTAATTCAGTTTTGAAACTTGTTGATTTTGTGATGTGTTGAGCCATCTAAATAGAGATATTGCATGGTTGGATGTACACATCTAGGAGTCTGAACTGGAAATAATACTTTTTGGAAGTAGCATAAAAATAGTATTTGATGAGCCTAACTGAAGAGTAAGAACTCTTAAGAGTTTGAAGTTTGGGATAGAGGATAAACTGTCAAAGGTGATTAGGAAGAAGTCAGAGAGATGAAGAATTAAGAGTATAGTGTTTTATAAACTAAAGGAGTGATTTTTTTTGACAAATCCTGCTGAGAGGGTTGGTAATACATATCAACATTGACTTTAAGAGTGACATTAACAAGAGTGGTTTTATTTGTTTGTTTTTTGAGGTGGGGTATCGGTATGCAGTTCAGGCTCGAACTCACTATGCAGTCCAGGCTGGCCTTGAACTCACAGTGATCCTTTTGCCTCAGCCTCCCAAGTGCTGGAATAACAGGCAGTGGCACTATGCCCAATTTAAATAGTTTTTTTGTTGTTGTTGTTAGAGATAGGGTCTTGCTAGGTTCCCCAGGCTAGTCTCAAACTCCTGGGTTCAAGAGATCTTCCTGCCTCAAGTTCTGGCACTATAGGTGTGTGCCATAGTACCTGGTAACCTTTGAATGTTGATGGAAGGGATCCTGTAGAGACAGTGATGACCTTGTGGAGGCACACAATCCTGAAAGAGGGAGTGGGAAATAGACAAGGTCAGTTTCCTTGGAAAGCAGAGTTGATAGAATAGGGCAGTGGCATGTGTGCAGCAGCTGGCTGTTTGTTACCATTGGGAGCTCTAAAAGGTTCGCCATTGCTGGGATAGGGCACCCGCAGAGAGATAGGTCTTTGACAGGCACTTTTTCCAGTGTAATCAGAGAGTAAAAGGAGAGGCTGGGTGTGGAAACAGGCAAGTCAGAGTTTCAGGTTGATGGTTTTTTTCTCTGCTGACTAGGAGGCTAGATCTTCTCTTAGGAGTAAAGAGTGGGATTGTTACCTAAAGTTCAGGGAGCTTGGAAAAGATTTGAAATAGTGGTTATAAAGAGGAAAGAATGAGCAGCAAGAAAGCAAGGTATGTGTGGGATTGTGGATTGATTGTTGAAACAATCTCCTTGGTTTATTTTTTGCCAGCTGCTTCCCCCTTCCTAGGTGCAGGCATTGCAGTTGGTTCTTGATGGTTAGGGTTCTGCCAAATGGTTGTGATATGTCTGGGTATCAGCAATTCTAAGTATAAATCAAGGACTGATTTTTTTTCCCCACTGTGCTAGGTGTTGGGAGTCCGAAGATAAGACAATTTCATAGTCTTAAGTAGTCTCCTTGCCTCCTCACCCTAAATATCATGACCTTTCTAATACCCCTACTTTCAGAGGTACCCTCCACTTTAGCTATTTTGACATACTGAATACTTCCTGAGTACCCTGTAGCCGTTTCTACTTTTACCCTATGATCGTTTCATTCTACTATTTTAGAATTCTCTTTCCTTCTCAATATAGGGCTTTGTTCAAATTCTGCTTTTCTCATGAATTCTTTCCAAATATTTCCCAACTGCATTAATATCTTCCTCTACTAAATTATTCTACACACTGAGCACTTAAAAGGTGCTGCTGTATTGAATTTGGGGGTGTGTGGTTCTGGGGATTAAACTAAGGACATTTGGGCTGAGCTATATCTCTAGCCCTTGTTTATATTTTACTTTTTGAGACAGGGTCTCATTAAATCATTAAGTTGTTCAGGCTAGGCTCAAACCTTCATTTCTCCTGCCTCAGCCTCCCAGATTCCTAGGATTACGGGCATGTGCCACCAATGTATTGATTTTTCTCAATAGCCAGTCATCTGGTCAAGATGCAATGTAAGTGGGCTGGGGATTTAGCTCAGTAGTCCAGTGCCTGCTTGGCAAGTGCAAGGTCCTGAGTTCGATCTCTGGTACTGGAAAAAAAAAAAGATGCAACTTAAGTAACTGATTACACTTACCCAAATACATCTACTTAGAGCACTTCAGGTTGGCAACAAGGTAAATAGTTCACATATATCAGTTACTATATGTCAGAGATTTTGTAAAGTGATTAATGTATGTTAATTCGTGTGTGTGTGTGTGTGTGTGTTTCGTGTTGGAGACTGAACTTGAGTGAGTGTGTGCTGGGCAAGCTGTCTACCACAAGAGCTGTAACACTAGTCTCTTGTTTTATTTAATAGTAACTATATGACCCATGATTATGAAATTGAACCTTGGAGAGGTTAGGTCAGCTGCCAAGATAATCAGCTAATGACCCAAGTTTGTCTGATTTCTTGGGCAAGCTCTGTTTACAAAGTAATAACATAAATTTTCTTCTACAGTTGTATTGCTCTGGAAACAATTCTAGAAGAGACCTTTCATAATGTTTTGTTCATCTCACTATTTTAAAAGCAAGCGCTCATTTGGATTCATCTTTTAATGAGATAACAGTAAGCCACAAAGAGGGTAATCTTTCCAAAATGAATGTCAGCAATATTTTAAAGCAAGAATTCTTTTAAGCCCACCTGACTTCCTTTCTCTCCCCGCATGGCTGGTCAGTTGTTTCTCTGGAGATACTGCACTGGTAGGCATCACAATGTATAACTCCGGGCCAGTCTGTCCTCAGGGAGGCTATTGAAGTCCTACTGTTGATGACACTCTCTTATAAGGCTGGGTATACATGGGAGTTTTCATCCGCAAAACTCCAGGTTTTTTTTAGTAGCAGCCCAGTAGCTTTGGAAGAATGAAGGATCTGCAGGATTTAGTTCCTCACTTGAGGCACACAGGAAAGGAAATATATAAGGATTAAGTAGGTATTTGGCTTCATCTGTCTAAAGCATATATTTTTAAAAATCTCAGTACAAACTGTGTGCTAACTGGATGTATCACTGATTTTCTTATGGATTATAAGACTTTGAACCAAGAATTGCCCAAAAGATAGAAACCAAATAATTTGTGATCATTTACCCAACATTTTAAAAATGTTTTACTATAGAAAATTTAGTCAGCATAAGAGAAGCAAAAGTGAAAATAAAAATTGCCATATTTTCATTATCCAGAGACATCTACTGCTATATTTGGTGAATAGTGTTAACAGAATTTTTCCTATGCATAAAGACATTATGACACGCAGGCCATTTGGGCTGAAGTAGAGTTTTACTATGACATCAAATACTTTGTTTTTTTTTTTTGAGGTTTCCCCAAAATGCTTTATTAAGACAAAGGCAGGGGAGGGGCAGGGAAGGATTGTTCTCCCCAGGGACTGAGCCCCCCCGCCCCCCTGCAGCCACCTGGCCGGTTCAGTGCACTGCAGGGAGGGCTTCCTGGGCTCCAGGCAGAACTGCTGGGCTGAGAGCAGGCAGGGTCCACGTCGCTATCCTCAAGCAGCGAGCAAATACTTATTTAAGAAGCAAGATTTTCTTCTTTTGCAAGTGAACTTGATACCAATAAATGTTAACTACTAATTATTTACTATTAGAAGTTTTTTTTTACCATTTTCACTTTTAAACAATTTACCGTTTTTATCATTTTTTAACATTTATCCTATTTTTACTATTTTCATAATTTATTATTACAATTATTTACCATCATTGTTTAACACTATTATTAATTCCATCATTATCTGATCATAGCAAACAATATCTTAAAACATTTATGATGAATATTTTAATTATTTTTATAAAGTTATTACCCTAAGTTGTTTGGAAATCTGAAAATACTCAGATTGTATTTTTCTATTTTCTTTTGTTGCAGAATACTTCAGAAAGTCAGAGTTGTGCCAGAAGTCTCTTAATGGCAGATAGAATGCAAATAGTTGTAATTCTCTCTGAGTTTTTTAATACCTCATGGCAGGAGGCAAATTGTGCAAGTAAGTAAGTCTTTCATTTTCATGTTTTAGTTGTGATTCAGTAGTATGGATATCAGATTTCATTTAGTGAATTTTAGAATCTCTGAAGCTAGGTAATATTTTTTTATATTAAATTCAAGTGAACTGCCATTAGCACTATAGGATGCTAGAGGTAACTGCTTGGGCAAATACTAAACATTAGAAGAATGTAGCTTTGAAATCAGATGTGGATTTGATTTTAAGCTCTACTACTTATCAGCTGTCAGATTTTGGGCAAATTAACTTGGCCTCTTGGAACTTCACTTTTCTTGTTTGTAAGTTGGTGGTAATATTGGAACCTGTTTAAATGGTTGTTTTAAAAATTAAGTGCAAGAAATTGTAAAAAAGCACTTTGCTCAGTCCCTGGGACATAATATTTAAGAAATGTTAACTTTAATATAATAATAGTTATGATGTTTATAATAAGTCAAGTGGTGTATGAGACTTTTACATCTATTTTACCAACTTTGTAGGTTTGTGTGTTTGTGTGTAATAAAATATCGATTTTTCAGATATTCCTTGGAAAAATTAAAATCAGTATTTCAAATTCAGATATGTTTTGAATTCAGATGTTTTGAATACTGCTAGGTATTTTGACCTTTCCACTTTTATAATTTAGTGAAGGAGAAAGATATATTTACAAATATTACCAAAGAAAGACAAATGCTTTAATAAATTTATAGAATCTTTATCTTACAAAATAATCATTTTAACTATAGTCTTTACCCAATTCTATGGAAGCACTTTTAATAATGCTGTTTGCATACCTATTTAATAGAGGTAATAGGAAAATTTTCTGAAAAATTTAAAGAATTACTCAGATCATTTAAAAAACTACAAAATTTAACAAAGGATTCTTACCTAAAGCATAGTCTCTTACAATGTAGTGAGATATTGGTACCATGAGAAAAGGAAGCTGAAGGAAGGAAAAAATGGAAGCTAAGCAAAGTGAATAACAAATCAGCAACTTAATTAATATAATTTCCCAAGTTACAGTTTTTTCATTACCGCTGTCTAAATTTGAGCTTCACAATAAGCCCAGTGAGAGATGAGGAGGATGAAAGAGTGAATAAACTGCAGATAGAGTCTAGAACTGAATCCAAAAGGCTTTATGATTGTTCATCTGAGTAAACAGTGTTTTTTATAAGTTAAAGCCTAATTTTTTTTCATTTGAGGGGATTGAACCCAAGGGTTGAGAATGCTAAACACATGTTCTACCACTGAGCTTTTGTTTTTTAAACTGCCATTTGACAAACTCATTGCAGGCTCCCATTTTAAGAAATATAAATACACTCTAATTAGACCCACTGAAGTTTAACTTTTATCCTGCAGACATATTTCATATGGCAGAAAGCCTAATCTTTTACTAAAAATATATTAACATACTCTCTTTTCCCCTAAATATCAATTTTTTCCCCCCACTGGTACTGGGGACCAGACTCAGGACCTTGTGCTTGCCTGGCAGGAGTGGCATCACTGAGCTAAATCCCCAGCCCCCTAAATATCAATTAATACTGCATAATATGAAAGAAATTTTTTTTTTTTTTTTTGGTACCGGGAATCAAACTCAGGTCCTTGTGCTTGCAGGGCAGGTGACAGAACCACTGAGCTACATCCCCAGCCCTGAAAGGAAAATTTTTAAAGTAGAATTGTACATTTTCTAATGTCAACTTTCAGCAGTGATAAAGCATAAGCATCAAGTGTCCACTCCCCTTCCCTACTCTCTCTCCATCCCTCTCCTGATGGTTGAGCCTTACATATGTTAGGAAGCACTCTACTGGGCTGTATCCCTGGCAACATCAGGTTCTCATGCAGCTGCATCTTTAGTAACCGCAGATCAGTGATTTTGATCATTGATCAAAGCCATTGATTTTGTTGGATCTTTGCTATCTTATTTTCTTAAAAAAAAAATCAACTTCCTACCTATTAGTCATTGATTTTCTTTTTTAAATCATTAGCCTTTCAAAAAGTGTAAAGGAATATAAAGTGTATTTGCTCTCTTAATAAAATGGAAGAAGACAATCAGGACATGCTAAAATTTTAAACTAATTGTGCCCAATCAAAAGTTTGCCTAGGGGCCGGGGATTTAGCTCAGTGGTTCCGGCACCTGCCTTGAAAGCGCAAGGTCCCAAGTTCGATCCCTGGTACCAAGAAAAGAAAAAGAAAGAAATTAAAAACAAAGAAAGACCGATCAGTTTTCTTAGAATATATGTGAAATGGTTAAGCTCAAACCATTAACCCATTTGTCTGTTACCTTTTTCTAATGATCTAATTATTGAATTTGCAGATGCACAGCTGATAAGTGATGCCAACATTAGAGAGCTTTTAGTCTGGTACCTACAAGTAAAAATGGGCAAGAAAAAAAATTACAAAAGAAGAACAAAGATCAGTAATTTTCCCCTCAGTACTGGTGATTAAACCCAGGGCGTCATGCATGCTTAGAAGGTACTTAACCACTGAGCTACATCCCAAGCCAATTTTATTTTAGTTTAGTTTAGTTTAGGACAGGATCTTGCTAAGTTGTCCAGCTTGGCCTCAAATTTGGAATCCTCCCACCTCAGCCTCCTAAATAGCCTGGATTATAAGTGTGTACCACTGCACCTGGTAAAATGTATCTTTTGATAAAAAGTGTCTGTTCCTTTCTCTTATGCTACTAAATGCAAAACTGTAATTATATAGGTTAAAATATTCTTAAAATAAATTAAAGGGGCTATCTTGGTCTGTGCTGTTATGACAAAATTTCACAGATGAAGTAATTTATAAACAACAGAAATGTATTTCTCACAATTTTGGAGGCTGGAGGTCCAAGATTATGACACTAGCAGGTTCAGTGTCTAATGAAACCCTTTTCCTCAAAGATGGCATTGTGTCTTCTGTTCTCACATGGCAAAAGGGACAGAAAGGACAAAAGGGACGCATGCTGTGTTTGCACATATGAGAAGAGTGGAAAAGTAAAAAATGACAAAACTGCATGAGAAGCTTCTTTTGAAAGGGCCTTAATCCCATTCACAAGAGGGGAGCCCTCATGACCTAATCACCTCCAAAAGCTGAAGCTTCCTTTTTTTGTCTTTTCAGATCTATTTCAGCTTTCACCTATTTGGGTTTTTTTGCAGTGTGGAGATCAAAGCCAAGGCCTCATGCATACTAGGCAAGCACTCTACATCGCTAGCCCCAGTACCAAAAATATTATATATTTATATATTATATATAATATATATTATATACATATCAGGTATGGCAGTTCCCTTTGTGCTGTTTGGGAGGCTGAGGCAAGAAGACTGCTGGAGCCTAAGAGTTCAAGGCCAGACTGGACAACATAAACCCTGCCTGAAAAAAATTTTTTCAGCACATGAATTTGAGGGAACATAAAGTCATGTGCTGCATAATGACATTTCATTCAACAGCAGACTACGTGTACAAAGATGATCCTGTAAAATGATAACAGAGGTGAAAGATTCCTTGTAGTGCGGTAGTGGTCCTGACACAACACACTACTCACATTTTTGTGGTTATGGTGATGTAAACAAACCAAACCTGTTTTGCTGCCAGTCATATGAAAAGATAGTACATGTAATTATATATATAGTACATAATAGTGATGTCATTACTATGTCATTGATAATTACTGTACTATATTTTTTGTCATTATTTTAGAATGTACTTGTACCTGTAGGAAAAAAAGTTAACTGTAAACAGCATCAGCCAGGTCCCTGAGGCTGCCTAGAGAATGTCTCACTATCTAGGGCAGTAGTGGTGAACCTATGGCATGTGTGCCACAGGAGGCTGTTATCACTGAAATCTCTAAAAGGTTTGCCATCATTGATCTAGCGGATGACAACTCCATGATTGTCATTGTCCCTAAAGACCTTCCAGTGAGACAGTGTTAACAGCTTGTGACTCTAAACCAGATCTTTTTTCCCCCTCCCATAAGCATGGAAGCAGTAAATGAAACCCAGCTCTCATTGGTAGCAAAGGAGAATTTTATTCTTTTTTTTAAAAAATTGTATTTTATTGGTACATTTTAGGTATACAGTATAATGACATTCATCATGGGAAATTTGCACCTTTGCATAATCTCTCTTGGTTCTTATTTTTTCCC